GTGTGTGTGTGTGTGTGTGTTTGTGTGTGTGTGTGTATAAGCATACTCACCTTTGAAATTTAGAATACTCACGTGTGTTTTTTTACTTCTCAGGTGCGCTTTTTGATATCTACGCGAACGATGAGATGGTCACACGTACCTTCCGGACGTTGAAGGTCGCGGGTAGTACTATTTATGATTATAAGTTCTGTTCCGAGAGAGAGCCGTTGGAAGATGTGCACGAAAGAGTGGCTAATCGAGTTCTGAATCTCTGTCAGAAAAATGGTGGGTTATACGTCAAATTAGGACAGGGAATCGCGAGGTATGTATGGTCGGCTTCATCCATATTTTGGATTGCATGTGACCTTTTTAGCTTGCATTTTAATCCATGCCACGCTGTCGACCGGCAAAATTATGTGGTGCCAGACCGGTCAAACTTAAATTGCGTTGTTATACTTGTTTCATCAACATCTAGTGCGTGTTACTGATTTGTATGTAGCTATCCATGCACCAACCCTTTTTTTATCTGTGTCAATATTCATCGATACAACGATTTTGGAGGGACCTGAAAGGCAATTCCAAGTACCTGATAATCGAGATGGAAGGCACTGATTTATATGTTTTTCTCCCATTGCAGCATGAATCATATTCTCCCACCACAATTTAATCGCGTCTTCTCCGTGTTACACGATAAGGTATGCTCTACATCACGTCTTTGCCATCGCGTGATCGCTTTTAGCCAGTGTGTACCTTGTTTCTCTGTTCTGCTGTTGTTATACAGCCAACTTCCCATTTGCCTGAGTGCGTGGTGATGTGGCACGTGGTGTATATATACAGCGCATGTATTAATGGTTGTATCCCTCCGGGAAGACTTTGATGGTGTAGCACTTGGTGATGCCGATAGGGCCACTGACGGCGAGGCACTAGAACTATCGTCCGGATACATGATCGGCGACGCAGACTCTGCTGGTGTCGGGGTAGGGGTGCTCTCTACATCTGACACTGAAACTCTTATATGAATATATATATATATATATATATACATACATACAAATATATATATATATATTATTTATATATATATGTATATATATATATATATATATATATAGAAAAACCACCCAACCCACGCTAGCATAGTTCAGTATGCGTGCCAAGAAATCGACTAGACATATTCAGTAGTAGAGAGTTAAGGACAACTTTTGGGCATCACTTCTATGTCGCGTGCCTTCATTACTATAGCGCGCTTTGGCGCTTTCGCCTATCGCAGCACGGGTTGAAATATTTCTGTACATCATTTGCAGGCGCCGATGGTAGACTGGGCTTCCGTCCAAAAGACTATACAGGCAGACTTTGGCAGGCCGTACAACGAGTTATATGCCACATTTGACCACCAGGCCGTTGCATGTATGTCAGATTCTATTTTGCATCGAAATTCTAACCACTCGATTCTGTTGATGTAGTACATATCTTTCTAGTATGATTCGAGACCAGAATTGTACTTTATTCAGTATCGCTTTGCGCACCACACACTCCGACTCCATAATGGAGATGGCTCATATCATGTTCAATCTTTCCACCTTCTCTTGTAGCTGCTTCCATCGCTCAGGTGCATAAGGCAACGCTTCACGACGGGACTTCAGTAGCAGTCAAGGTTTGTTTGAAGTTGCCTTACTTAGTGAGCTTATCGATTTTTGCTGTACTTTAGTTGCCTAATACATTGCTCGTTCTGGTTTTCGGTAGAGTGAGTAAAATGGCAGGTTGTACATAATAGAGGCTGGGTGGTTTGATTTGCGGGAGTTATTATGTTTGAAGAGCTCGAGTGTTTTGGCATTGCATCTCGCTCAGCTCTGCAAGATAACAGGATTATTCCCGGCCATCTGTTCTGCAGTAGAACCACACGTTGTGCAATATACATTCGAGGCCTGTGTGTATCTGACGAGTGAGGCGTTTATCTGTTACATGTACAGCGCTCCACTTCTGAATCAATACACGGCTTTGTATTCTTTCATGCTACTCAACATCACACAGGTGCAGAAGCCTTGCATTGCGAGGCAGGTGGATCTCGATTTGATGACCTACAGATTGATCGTTTGGGTTTTTGAAAGGGCTTTTGACCTGCCAATGTACTGGACTGTGGCGTATACGGAGGAAAACTTAAGAAAGGTGTGACATCTGGTGTGCTTCGAGCGGAATGTTTCAACCTAGTTCCCCATGCTTTAATGATTTCTAAACTTGCTTTTGAAAATTCTCAACCACATACCCTCAGTCTTTGTAAACACTTCGCGAAGTCTAGTCCCAAATTAAATTCGCGATGAAATACTCATCATGTAAATTCTTGTCATCGCACAGGAGCTAGACTTCCAGCATGAAGCCGCAAATTCAAACAAAGCGAAGGAGCAATTGTCAACGTTTGATAATGTCTATGTGCCTACGGTATATTCCGACCGGACAACGAAGCGTGTGCTGACGTCCGAGTGGATAGATGGTAAATTTGCTTTGAACTTAAATTGATATGAATGCAACCCAGACTGTTTTTCAAGATATGAGCGCTCTGTTTAGCATAACAATATTGGAAATCTTCTATCCGGCTTTCTAATCTGCCACGACAATGCAAAGTAACATTTACTATAAACAAAAGTAGGTTTTAACACAAATCCATATCTGCAGGTGCCAAGATGAACGACCCAGAGGCGATGGACAGGATAGGGTATGATCGTTTGCGCACCTCATGGAATGGTTGCCCCTGAGGGTATCTATTCTATTCTTAACAATCTTTGTCATGAGCTTGTGTTGCGAATTGTTCCTGTGCGATTACTTCATGTGCACTTGCAGGTGCAAATGCATGCACCTTCAACACCTGCCATTGCGTCGTCTGTACCTGCAACTGGAGACGTCACGCTTCCTGTCACATGCTGAATGATCTTATATATCCCATCAGTGTGAACGTGGACGAGGTGGTGAAAACGCTAGTCAATGTGTCTGGCTTTCAGGTCTTCATTTCTGGATTCTGCCATGCGGATGTACACTTTGGCAACTTACTGGTAAGGATGGCAGGCAAAGTATTATTGCCTATTTGGTTATCGATTGATTATCATGCTGAATGTGTACAAGTTCAACACGGACTTGCGAATTTGTTGTTCTTTATTTGAATAGCTTTTCGGTACCAATGTCGTCTTGTTACCTGAAATACTGCACGCAACCATTGTGAACAGAACTGTTCGCTCAGTGAGAACCAATCGATGTTTTTTTCGTTTTTTTTTCATTTCATGCCTGTACAGCAGATGGCTGTCAAACGTATTGATCTTGTCACTTTACTCTGCACGGCTAACCATAACATCATGAGCAAAACTACTGGTCTATACATACTATCATGAGCATAGGTAAATTGCTGGTCTACACATACTATCACGAGCATAGGTATTCTACTGGTGTATACATACTATCATGAGCATATGTAAACTATTAGTGTATACATACTATCAAGAGCATAGGTAAACTACTGGTCTACACATACTATCATGAGAGTAGGTAAACTACTGGTCTATACATACTATCATGACCATAGGTAAACTACAGGTCTATACATACTATCATGAACATATGTAAACTACTGGTCTACACATACTACCATGAGCATATGTAAACTACTGGTATACACATACTATCATGAGCATAGGTAAACGACTGGTCTACACATACTATCATGAGCATAGGTAAACTACTGGTCTACACATACTACCATGTGCATAGGTAAACTACTACTGGTCTACACATTCTATCATGAGCATAGGTAAACTATTGGTCTACACATACTATCATGAGCATAGATAAACTACCGTTCTACACATACTTTCACGTGCATAGGTATTCTACTGGTGTATACAAACTTTCATGAGCATATGTAAACTGCTGGTCTATAGATCACAGCCTGTAGATAGATCGAAATGAAATCCATGATCTGCTAACTGGCACGTTGCATACATATTGAAGTTTGTTGCTGATGTACCACGTACTTTTACCGCACCACAGGTGAGGAAGAAAGCGAATGGTCACGAGCTGGTCATACTTGATCATGGTCTGTACGTAGAGGAGAGCAACAAGTTTAGGTATGGGCCATCCTCTGGTAGAAATAGGCCCGGCTGCATGTTGTACTCTTTAGTTTGTCATGATTAAGAGCGGTTCCTGCAAATTATGGTCGTATTTTCTGAGCATAAAGATCTAGTATCGCGTATCTGATTATTGCATCTGCTTGTTCCCGTATTCAGGGAGGAATACTGTCAGCTTTGGAAATCCATGTTTCTGCTCGATGTCGATGGCATGAAAGAAATCTGCAAAAAGTGGGGCATTACGTAAGTTACATCCATGAGGGCTGTATTCAAATTGCTTCGCGCCTTTTTTTTTGGGCAATACACGTAAGAGTGTGTGATTATCTCCACCAACCCATTTACCATGTACTCGTTTGTGACGATATGATGTCTATTTAGGAGTTGTGCTTTGCACTTCAACCCTGATTGTCGGTCATATCCTAACCTAGATCACGAAGCACATCACTGCCGTATGCCCTGTACACCTTCAAAGCATTTCGGTACATTGGACAACATGTCCATCGCACAAATAAGGGGTTGGTTTCGTTTCTCGTATAGATGGTCTACAGTTATGTTTTTCACGGCGTTTCTCATATTCAATCCGTTACAAATTCTGCTCGGTTTCTTTCAGCGATCACGAGTTATTCGCTAGTTTCACTCTGATGAAACCGTATTCGACCAAACGTCCAGTGGCCTCCAAAGTCAGCAGAGCCGAAGTTATGCAACTGCAAAGGCAAGCGAAGGATCGAGTTCGGCGCTTATTAGAAGGTGTGGAACTAAGTTGTAATTTCGTTTTTGAGTGTTAAACCCAGCTCCTCTTTGGTCACGTAATCCTTATTGTGCATTTATTTATCATTGAGACCTTGCAGAAGATGTAGCTATTTCTCCATCACCTATGAATTATGCTTGCTTATAGTGGATTCATGATTTGCACAGATACCAGCCTGTTCCCTAAGGAGCTGATTTTCATAGGCCGTAGCATGAACATCGTCCGTGCAAACAACAAGGTGAGTCATATGCAACCCAATCTACAGCCACCTGCCATGGGGAGGTGCTTTGCAGCTCGGTAGATACTGTTGAAACTGTTATTGCGGGCCGCTGCAAGTTTTTATCTTGTTTACAGCTTTTCTCGATAGGATGTATGTGTTGTCTGTCAGTGTTTGCTTCCGTCGGCTTTCCATTACATCTTTCAGATTATGCGAGTTCCGATGAATTCTCTTATTTTATGTTCACCACAAACTAACATCGACTCACCAATTCACTCTACTCTCTCTGCTACAATTTCTAATCTAGCACTTAGGCTCCCCCGTTAATCGAGTAAACGTACTGGTTTCGTGGGCAAATCAGGGCACAAAACGAAGCAATGCGGTGAGTGTGCACATCTGTGTATTGAAAGAGAGACCTGAACGCTGTTTGTATGTAGAATGCATAATTTGTTTCAAATCGTCTACGATCTCATACTAGCGCAGCCGCGCAATCTGCCAGACCACTCGATTCGCGAATGCCTCAATTATTATATGCTGTTTTTTCGATTGTCTGCTGCTCACGGTAGCTGGTGCTGTATCTTTTTCTTTTTGCGCTGTATTGAAGATTAAGTAGAATGCCAGAGTATATGAATATAGTCAGGTTCGCGAGATTCATTCTGCGCCTCCATCAAATTAGCTCGGATTCAAAAATTAAGAAGCTAAATCATTACCTTGGCTTGTCTGAGCTTCGCGTCGTCAAACCCATATCATTTTTTTTCTCGTATTGCAGAAGTACTCCTGGTACCTGCACGAATTCCGATTCAGGATACAAATGTTCGTAGTGGATATCTTTTACTATTCCTCGAGACTGTGGCAGAAGCTGAATGAGACGCTGGGCTACAAAGTGGATAGCTTTGAAGGAGTGCTCGAAAAGGCGTTACCGACAGAGGCATTGGGATTCTCGTCAGAAATATCAGAAAGCGGGATGGACTAGCACAGCATATTGGGTAGTTATTGCCATGCCTGTGAATTAATGCCTAACTAGGCATTGGGTAGTTATTACCATACCTGTGAATTAATGCCTAACTAGGCAACTAGTTGTCGACCACCCGAGCCGCGCCGGATAGGTTTAGTGCCATTTCTCGAATGATATCAGTAGGTGTCTCTGGCGACTCCATATTCGCACGTGAGAGAGCTACTTGTCCAGAAGCCAACTGTCTGGTGGAGGCGAAATTAGAATTTAGTGAGCACAGATCATAAGTGTTTATAACAGATAATTAGATGCCGTACGAAGCCTTCGTTTCGTTTCGTCTAGACTATTCATGGATATGGTGTGCGTTGCATTCTAACACATTGTTGGATAACGATATATTAAGGTTGGAATGAGCGTTTATGGTTCAGCTCGGTACGATTCCTCGAGTTTATCGCTCACCGCTGCACGACCGCTGTAGATCACGACTAATGCATGGTAGCCTTTTTGGCATAAACTAGCTATACGCAATGTGACGTGGAAGAATCACAAGGCAGAACAGGACGACATAATCGAGAGCCGTGTTGGCTATAGTATTTCGTCTGCTAGCGCGAAGAAGTATCCAATTTTCATGCCGTGGACCACATCTAGAGATAGCTACAAAAATTCAGTATCGGGGCAACAGACCCAAAATGAAACGAACATGAGGGATGTTGCTAATAAACAACGTCGTAATTCATCAGTGTGCCAGAGTTTGGGCAGTGTTGGTGCCTGAACTTATTAGCAATCTCTGGCGATAGTGGCCTTCGTTTTTGTACACCGTTCAAATTTAGGAACTATGTTTGGCATCCAATCGATCGCGTAAAGGTCCTGCAAAGAGATGGTAATCATGTATAATCAAATCGCCGAGTAGTTTGGAGCGTTCGGATGTGGTCATAAGTACCTTTTCAGTTTCTGGTTTCGTCGGCCATTGCTACTCATTTCCACTATTTCGTTTCATCCAGGTTGTTGACCATCGGAAATATTCTCATTAGCCGCACTACCCATCGCCATGTTGTGATATGAAGCCCTTCAGCTCTCTCAGCTACTAGCCATTTAAAAACCTAATCCACAGGTGTGATTATTATAGCTATCGCTGAAGATACAATCGTGGTCAGTATTGTACTCGCTCGTGTCGTCCTCACTCCCCTGTAAGAATAGTGTAGCCCACTTGCGGCAGTGAAGTACTGCTGTACACCTCTGCATTCTCCATCTTAGTTTATTGATCAGAAAACGTCACACCGCCTCACTTATCTCTTCGCATACATCCTCACTGTACATCTTACATGGAGCATCGAATCTGCACAATATTGGGGATACTGTCCAACGCACGTAGATGCTACTTGAGAATCAAGATTTGTGCGATGACAAACAGGTTCTAGTGGAGGCAAATCTCGATCACGGTCGATTGCAAATGTAATCGATATCATAAATCATTGTATTGTTGTCAAATGTGAGAAATCTAGTTGGGCAATGCTAGAGTTCTCATCGTAATGCCTACGTTGATATAAGGCGAGTATTCGCACACTTCATAAACAAACAAATGGTTGCGATAAATCCCGGATATTGCTAGGCGTATTTTTCAACATGTGTACTCAACAAAGGTGTAGAATAGGTCTTGGTATGCTTTATAGTAGAAACTTGTACTACTCGAGCTCTTTTCAAAAAACAGAACGTGAAGGCTGTGCAGTACATACATGTCAAATCGTTGTGAAATCGACAATCGTACGTATTAAATAAAATACCTTCGTTGTATACTGTATACACAATATAATATTGTGACTCGCGGCCTCGACTCACGTGCCCTCGACGTACGTTCCCATGACTTCAATTTGCAGGGAAAGCGCCACAGTGCGACTTATATTTTTGAATGGTATTCATCACGAACTCTCGACGCGGTATCGTACAGATAAACTCCATTTAAGCTACAGTGACCCCGATTCACACTTGCCTGGTAAGCTATGGTTTTGTCGATTCCCTGTATCATACTAGAACAAATGTATATATATATATATATATATATATCCCGATGAGATCGATATCAAGAAAGCATGGGGCTCTCGAGGCACATGATAGATCAGGCTAAAAGAAGGTGGTTCTGCTGAAGAGTTAATCGTCACGCCGCATTGATATTGCGACCCGGAGTCGAGCCAAAAGGCGCTTCCAGGAAGATGCACATGCGGGCTGCAGTTTTGAATGTCCAGACTTCTCCTTGTACATGGTTGTGAACTTGGTGTCGGCACTCTTTAATAAATTATGCCTTCGAAACTCCTAAATCCGCAATATTGAAAAGGTGACCTTTACAATATATTTTTTTATGACAACGGGTCGCGCGCACAACGGAATTGAAAGATATGGATGTTGTATGACTGTTGGTTAGAGATTGTTTGTAGCACTGTATTGGGCTAGCCAGTCGACGGCATAATAACACAATCGACAGGAGGCATATCATACACGCTCAAAAAGCATGGCGAGTTTAGTTGGTTACTCCTTTCTATTACTATCAGATGTAGTGAACATTGTAGGTCAATAAATAATTTTCATAAGGTTGTTTATACTCGGAGACATCGCAACGACGCTGTACCATGTACAGATAGAAAGTCGGAGCAAATTTGAGGCTCGATAGACGGGTTTGAGTGGCGTTGCGAAACCGAGCATGCATATGATGGTTGATAGTACGAAGTTGGGCACCCGCTTTATATAGTTTATGGTTTAGAAATCCGCCAACCCTGACACAAGAACGCGAACAAGCAATATCGGTATCAAATTAGACAGAGCTCGATAGTGGAACTAGGATCGTACCCAAGCTCTCAACATCGTTATAAAGCAAGTATCGCTAACCTTGGCTGGACTATCGCATATGACTGTATGAGTTGCTGCATTATTTCGAGATATTTACTATATGACATCTCGTGATAGCTACAAGCATACACTCACGAGACCTCAAGGAAAACTGATACCATATGAATCGACTCGGTCACTATTTCGACAACTGGGTCCTTGGTCTAAACCAGCATCAATCTCTTCAAGATTAGCACTCAAATACTCATCAACAATGGCACAATCATCATCCTTGTACACAACTATATCCCCGACTGTACTGTCAGAGGATTCACGGATAAACTTGGATGACTGTTTACCAGTCCATGGCCCACATGAGCCATCACTTGGCACCAAAGACTCGCTTGCCACGACATTGAAAGGACAATTGCGGTCAGGATACACCACCACACTTATGGTTTTATGCAAGGCCGTTGGCTTTTTCTCATTTGCTTCCTTTATGAGCATAGAAACCTCACCGTTTGCATCGTTGTTACAAGTTTCTCTGCCGGTTGTGATGGTCTCTATATACACCCCTGAGAAGGCGTACTCACGTTCGGTGCAATTAAGATCGTTATAATACTGAAACGAACCTGTAGGATCGTCTTCTTCAGAACTCGCAATAAACTGAGTATAGAATTGAAAGTTACCAGGTATAAGTTGAGTGCATGTACCGTTGCTGGGGACGACCCATCGGCTCGAGAGGTTATCTTCATCGCAATTGCGTTTGGCATACACTGAGACGCCGATTTGTTCCCATCTGGGAGATCTTCGCACACTCGATGCGCTTTCGCTTATAGCAACGCATGCCAATAACCCAAATAGACTTTTGATAGACAAACACATTGCGATTCTTCTCTTCATTGGCCTATTGTTTAAAATGCGTCAATGTTATATACTGTTCCGCATAAACTCTTGAGCTTATTGTGGTCTCAATAACTGGGTTGTTCAGTGCACACTTTACTGGGTTGTTTAATGCACACTGCGCTGTGGAGTGCAGGGGGGCACACACGATGTTGAGTTTTCACATTTGCTCGTAGATTGTCATAAGATTAAAAATTATTTACGCTGCAATACAAATATGGAACCGAAAACTCACACTCACAACTCACAACTCGCAAGTCACAGAATTCAGTAAATAAATATTAAAGATAAAGAGTTAAACGTCGGTCAGACTCATTCGGACATTCCAATAAAAAGCATCATTTTCAATTTTGTGTCCTGTGTATGTACTATGTAGTGTGTTGTGCCTTTGCGAGACGGAGTAAAATTCTGAAATGTGAAAGAAAAACATACAAAAAAAAGTAAAAAGTAAAAAGTAAAAACATAAAACACAGCTCAGTGCTCAGTAATCAGTGCTGACCGCGGGGCGCAGAGTGCTCAGCTGAGTCATCTGTGACTCTGCGAGTGCTGACTGAGATCTGCTATTTTTTTTTGCTTTATTTTTTTACTATTTATAGAAACAAAAACATCAACAAATACTGGTACATACCATAGCCTTCTTGTTCAATTTAAAGGGCTATGTACATACATATTTAAAAAAACTTTTTCCAACAAAAAAAGTAAAAACGTCCGCCCGACCTTCAGGAAGGTAATCTGAAAGAGTAACTAAATATAGTCGTTGTTTCAGAGAGGTCATTAGTTATCCGACAAAACACACTAGCGAGTCGCGACACCACTGATGAGTGATGAACTGATGACACTGAAGATCGTAGCAGCGCATTTCTACAATGCCTGTAGTCAAGCAACTTTTCAAAAATATTATTGCAAGGCAAAACCTGCCGAGGTCTTACCATCGGGTTGAAGTTCCATACTCGTTATTTCCGACTAAATACACAAAAGTCGGGAATGCCAAAACTTTGCAACGTCGTCCATTCAATATTCTATTTCGAATCTGGAGATGGGACTTGTGCCTACATTTTATAAACTATCCGAGGAAGGGCGTAAGGCGTACATGCAATACGTTCACTTTGAAATGTATAATCACCGTTTATTTGCATCGCGTACTTTTCCCATTCTTTCACACTACTCAAAAGTATCTTCCCTATCCGTCTGTGCCAGCTTTGCATCCTCAAGTGACGCGAACTGCAGGAAGTGTGACGGACGATGTTGTTCGTGGTAAAACTCACGTGGCACACCAATGCTGATATCGTATTTCATAGTGGGCGTGTGTTTGACACCCATGAAGTTATAATTCCATGATCCCAATGATGGCACCATAAAGAATCCTGCATAAAACAAAATCGATTCACGTATGAGATGACAGCATCTATTACCGTAAGCAAATGATGTGTATTGTTTTGTTGGTGGCGCATATACCATCAAACTTTTCAATTTCGAACTATCTATCGAAAATACTGAGCATGCCGCCCAAAGTAGATCTCCTTACGCTTGAATTCTTGAGTTTGATATCAGTCGGATGTCACGCTCTTGAATACATGCTTGCCGGTCAATCGCAGGAAGTACACACAACACCAGAGTATCACAAGTAACGTCATTCTCATACCATACCAAATTACAAGGACAGAAATACATACCTAGGAACCTATCAGCAAGCAGCATCTGGACCTTCTCATAGAAAGAGGGCAAGTATCCGTGAGGATTATTTCCTGTATCCTTGTTATTCTTACCCCACTCGAAACCAGAGGGAGTGAGTTTATATGCCGTTAGCGATACGGAACCGGGTGTGAAACTGCACGTGATGCACACACTCTTTTCTCCATCCCAAGATGGATTCTCCGCCATGATTTTGGCATGCGTTGTCACATCTGCAATGGAACAAGCATATAAGTGAGACATGGAAGATCATCTGAGAGTTAATGCCGGCAGACAGAGTAATACTAACCAGATTGACGTAATATTGACGTATTGTGTACAATTGATTATGCTTGCAGACGTTGTAATTTTAACCGAAGGTGAAAGGCGCTCACTGTCAATACAACTACTTCTTTCGGGAAGAGCCTTATTTATAACACGATATGAAGTGTATCTAATATTTGTGAATAGACACCATGCCTTTAATCACGTCCGTATCCGAAAGCACTATGATCATCTAAACATCATAGCATGGATAGTCAAGTACACATAAAACGCCACATCGGAAGCTGACCCAAACGTTTACAACCAGACAAGTAGGAACACGACTCCACCCTTACCTTGTGGTGACAGCTGAGGGGTCTCATTCGGCTGAGTGTGGATCCATCCGAGAGGCTCCATATCCTTCAGGAACTCGTGGTCGGGCAGCATGTGTGGGAGATGCACAGTCTGATGCGTACCCCATTGGGGCACCATCACTATACATCGAATCTCATACACCTGTGATGACGATATTTTGTTCAGAATAATTAGACCTTTTCACTTCCCAATTTTCTGCAGAGACAGATGTCAGATCGTAAGTGGAGTTCCTATACTTAACAAGTGCCAGTCGTAACACGCAAAGCAATAGTGGGAATCTATGAAAAACATTCTAATACATTACCCTCAATCTATTACAAATATTACAATATATTACCTGCGGGTTATCCTCGGGATGCACTCCATACAAGTATCCTGAGATCTGCGTTCGCAAATCCGAAACAATCACAAACTTCTTCAACAGATTCTTCGGCAGGAGATACGTATATCCTGTTTCCTTGATGTTCTCTGACGATACGTAGATGTGGTTCGTACGCAAGTGTAGATTCGTTGCCGAGATAGCACGTACACGCCACTCAGTCTTGGACGAGAAGGTCTGCGTCTCGTAGTTGCTCGTAGTGGTGACATACATTTCATCACCGTGAACGTTGGTTGTGCGCGTAGTCACAGCTGTCATTTGAGACTGCTCCTTCGTTTGCTTCTCAATCTCCGCAATCTGTTGTAATGGAGTGTATTAAAATTGAATATGTTGGTATTCATAACACAGAAATCGGTACAACTAGACATACTATTCACAATAATTATATTCACATGTATACCTCCTCTGTGACGATACATCTTAATTCGAATGCAAAATAAACACTACAGGGAAAAACAATCACCGGATAGGTGTGCATTGGGGGTCAAAATTTCAACTCAACAAACGCTGATCATATCATATAGTCTGGATAGCACCGTACCTGTAGACGCTGAGCACTGGGCGCCGAGATCTCCATACCCAAGATGATATCTCGAATCTCACTCTGTGTCAGTGATGAGACGTTGACGTTGTTCTTCTTACCGTAGTCAGCCAAGATCAGATCCTTTAGAGCCACCTCCACCTTAGTCCACTCATCATCCGTCAATGTGGGCCAGATGTGATGGGGCTCCGTGATGGTGGTCTTGTCTGGCTTGATAATAACCTGTAGACATAGGTATTGGGCGGTCAGCAAAACGTCAGTCATGAAAGGCGTTCGCAAGTACACGACAAGGTAGAAAGAGATAAAAACGGTACACAACACCGTAGGCCAAGCTAACGCGATGCCTATAAGATCTTAGAAACAGTAATATACATATATATATATATATATATGTATACATATATATATATATGTGTGTGTGAGTGTGAGTGAGTGAGTGAGAGTGAGTGAGTGAGTGCGTGAGTGAGTGAGGAGTGAGTGTGTATGTATATGTAAACGTGTATGTATATAGACAAATGGGATTGGAGATGCAAGTTGAGCTATCAATCCATGAGAAGACACAATTACGGAAAACCCATACAAGTCGAGTTTGATTTACAGACACACGCCGGGCTAATGATGCACACCTTCGTCTTATCGGGGTTCACATGCAGCGCCCTTAGCAACAGAATGAGACGGGAGAAGGCCGTGTAACTACTGATAGTCTTCAGCCAGTCGTCGAACAGATTGAACAGCACCATCTGCGGCTCCGTAGCCTTCAGGATCAAGTCACCAAACTTCTCGATCTTCATACACGCCTGGAAAGGTAACTGCAGCTCACTGCCCTTGATCACAATATTCGGGAAATCCAGCAGATGCACCTCGAGGGGATCCAGCATACCCTTTCTGGTGACCACGATCTGCTTGGGCTGTTCTTCGACGGGCAGCGAACGAATAAGCGCCGCCACTTCCTCGGCCGTCTTCCACTTCGCCAACTGACCCAGACGCTTCTGTCCCGCCCATACGCTTGTGTGGATGATCTGTGGCAGGTCAGGTCAGGGGCAAGGTGTTTGAGTGACTCAGTCGCAGGCGTGAGTCAACTAGGCGATCATTGAGAAGCGATTGCAAAACACAGGGCAGCACTCCACTTCACCGGTGGCACGCTTGGACAGAAGAACCATGACATTTAAAACCTGAGAGGCTTACTTGGGGGCATGTGGCAAACGCAGTACATGGACGAGTATAATATGATCTACAACGAGCTCTTAGTTAAGGGTACAGCGAGTGTGTAGCTCTTTTCTTAAATCAGTACGATGGTTTAACAAACCTTCAGGAACAGCTGACCGGTTCGGGGGTTGAAGATGAAGATAGCTCCGTTGATGGGCTTGGTGGTCAAATTACCCTCGAAGGTCTTGTGGATGGTTACTCGGTATACGTTGGTATCATCAACAAACCAGATGATTTGGTTACTGAACAACTCTGCACAGGAAGTGGGTCAAGAGAATACGATCAATAGAGGCTAAAATCAAGCCATAGACCAGATGATTTGGCTACTAAACACTTCTGCATAAGAAGCGTATCAAGACAATAGGATGAACAGTGCCTACCCTCCTGTAAGTGACTAATTAAGACAACCAGACAATAAAAACAGAAGACAGTGCTACACCAGCTCGTTTTATGAGCACCAAACCATGTGCATCGATCTGCTTGCTGCAATGCACACAGACAATACTTACATCACTTTCGTTATATCTATAGACAAATCGTATGTATTCTAATTATGTGCATTCACGACATCCGAGTAGTAGAAGCACTCAACGACACTAAATCGCAGGAACAACTTTCATAGCATCGATAAAGGCAGTATCAAGAAACCAGCAGCTCACCCATACCTACATCATGCAGTAAATAAGGACAGAAACCAGGTGTTTTATGCGATGAGCAATAGAGGCCGCATACACAGCAAATAAAATACAGCAACTACATCAGAAACAAATCATCTAACCCTCTCCTACGCACCGTGTCCACCCGCCAAGATACCCCTCCCGCACATACCTCCGTAATTCTGAGACGACAGATAAGGTTCCGTGGGCTCTGACGAGTATAGCTGCAGCGCCTTACGCACACGCTCGCGCAGTACGTAGAGTGCAGGGTTAGCCTTCATGATCTTGCCCAGTGCTTGTGTGATCAGCGGCTTGGCACCCGGGAACCAGTTCCCGTAGGCCGAGTGTAGGTTGTATGCCAGATCGATCGCAATGAGCGTGCCTGATGCGGATGGATAGATGGACATGTTGTCCGTGGTGTAATCCAGGAATTCTGCGTGGTGCGAGTTGGAATAGCGGTGTGAGTAGGCGATCTCGGGCCAGTCGACATTGTCACTGTCTATGTGAAAGTAAGCAACTAAGCTGAAGTAGCATACTGAATGGTTACTGGAGCGACCATTTCATTCGAAGGAGATGAAGGAACCTCCATCTTAGTCAATGTGAGATATTGCTCAGATGCCAATCGGACCAGTTGAGACAAGAACAACCAGACTTGCATGTACGCGCAACTACCCCCCCCGGGCCTAAGTCTGATGTCACCAAGTGACTACCAATCAAGCTCTAGCTCCCAGCTGCGTACATAATATACGATGATATTCTACGAAGACTACAAGGAGATTTACTGGCAGTGGCAACATCACCGTAATATATAATCGAAACAGTACATCACCCGCAAGATAAACCTAAACGACCGAATATCCACATGACAAACCTAAACGACCAAATATCCACATGATAAACCTAAACGACCGAATATCTACATGATAAACCTAAACGACCAAATATCCACATGATAAACCTAAACGACCGAATATCCAGATGATAAACCTACACGACCGAATATCCACATACTTGCACGCGTGTATCGCTCGATATCGTGCGAGTCGAAATCACCCCAGCGCAACTGCACATCGATCCAATACTTCTGCGTCGACGTGCTGTCGGCGGTGTCACGTGTGTCGTTGAGCAGCGACGGCTTAGACACGTTCCACTTGTACGTGGCAAACAGCAGGATATCGGCACAAGACGAGTTCATCTTGTAACTCTTACGCGGGTGGATGGTTTCCTTCTGCACGGTTTCGATGTCGAGCGCGTCCAGCTCTTGATCGAACACTTGACTGTGGTGCATTGAGTTGCGGAGTGGAGCGTGTGTTGTGGGGTCAGTGCAAGGCCTGAGCTTCGGCGAGTGATTAAAATACGTACACGATCTTCATAGTGGTAAATGCAATCGAGGCGATTAGCTGTTCGTGGCACGAACTGAATACCGTAGTCTCGACTCAAATACCAAATCAACTCAGATGTAACTGTACAATTATAATAATCGAACCACATTCACCACACAACCAACTAGAGCTCGCAGGGAGGCTCAAGCATGTCTATAACCCCACTCCGTCTAAACCACACGTCCACATACCATAAATCCATAACCACACTCTCGTGAACTTTCTGCCACAAATGCGCTCTGAAGATCTGAATTAGAGAGATTTTGAGCGTCGGGATCTTTCCGTGCATAAAGATTCCAGTTAGATCCAATTGCACCTGGAAACCGACGTATACGTTGGCACGGTTGATGGTAGGCGACCACCAAAGTGTGAACCGACGATTCGGGATCTGATTCAGACCGGATCGCTGGGCGTTGGTAAGCTTCTTGTACTTCATGGACTCTTCGAAACCACTCGCCTGTCGGAAGGGAAACATATCAGCATCGAATATATCAGCTACGCGTCGAGTGGAACTGAGCCTTTAATTGATTTGTTCATGGAATACTCCCGGGACGCAATGCGAGTGATGTTGCGCGAGGGTGATTGTAGTAGAAATTGAAGAGCACACAGGTCATTGAAGCGATTCGTGGGTGTGCTCATAATTCAGAAACGATATAGCTTGAAAAAAATATTGAAACTATCATTGTGTACCTGACAGAATTACTGGACAAACAGCAGTGTAGCGACGGCGCAATGCATAATTGAAGAGAAAAAAATCATGATCATAAATGCATGGTTAAATTGTTCCTATCACCAATTACAAGAAAGGCGAGTTCAAATCATGGCATGAATGAGATACGACTAAACCTACCTTCTCCCAGAACAAACCTTCCCACGTGGGGAAGTACGTTCCCTTGAACAGCGTGTGCTCGAGGATACCCTCGACACCACCCAAGGCCTGGATCATATCGGTTCTGTAGTTGTTCAGATTCCACAGTTTACCGTCGTGCCTCTGATGAGTCCACCAGAAAGGGTTGTTCTTCAGCACCTGGTACTGCTTGAAGTCTGTGCGCACACGCCATCCCTTGTCGTAGGCGAGTGTGTGTCTGTCCTTCTGGAACAACGTATTTATACGAGGGATACCTACACAAGCATTTCGATCATAGTTTGTAATTTAGTGGAAATACAAGCATGTATCTATGTAACTTATTAAAACTTCCATATCGATAATACGACACACCAATGTGACGACCGGGAATTAGGAACTAGTATCATAGTTCAAGAGAATCGCGCAACATGATTAGAACTCTTAGAACAATACAAACGCGTCGAAAAGAGAATAAAATCCCTCGGTCCGACTTTTAAGTCCCGAAAGATTGGCAGACATATATCTGCAAATCACGCTCAAAAAATTACAAGACACGCAATATGGCATACATGCGCTTGCTTTTTCTCGGCACAAACGTACATGTCCACCCACGCATGCTTACCTCTATCCCACGAATCCTCCAGATCCTCGAGCGTCAGGCGTCTGTTCTGCTGCTGTGCTTCTTGCCTCTTGAGCGCGTACTCGGCCCACACACGTTGCGAATCAATGAACTCACTCTCCCACGGCTGGATGTACCGGTACAGATTCGGGATCAGCGAGTCCTCGTCGTGCGACATTCCGGATCGGAAGTGCGTGATGCCCGTGTTTGTCTGCTGAGACCACCGCAGATCCGACTGGGGGATCAGAACGTGGCCCATAGACAACATGCCCAGGCCACCCAGCTCTTTGGGGGTGTAGAACACCACAGGCGGGAATCGGGAGGGCATTTTAGAGTTCAGACCGATCTTGACACGAGTTTGAATCTTGTTCTCGCATTTCACCAACAGATCCAAGAGCTCCTGTGTGTTGACCACAGCCTCGCGGAAGTACGTCATGAGACCAATGAGCGCGGTATTCCACTTGTTGATCACCTTGGTGAAGGTGGTGGCACCTGAAGCCATCAGTACTTGTCTGCGATGCAGAAATTAGAGAAGCCGCATGAGAGATTAACATCAAAACACAAACAACCAAATACTGAATAGATAGCCATAAAAAGTTAAAAACAACTCGCATATAGTAAGATGGCAACCTCAAGGTATGTGCGAGTCTAAAAAGATGGTCTGAGCCACAGCAGAGAATTAAACGGCCACATAGACCACAGTCTCCAATAAGTTACAAACCTGATACGGTTGTTGAATTGCGCCAACCGTTCATCATCAACCCTCAGGAACGCCTGGGCAGTTCTCTCCTTGGTGATCTCGTTCTGCAGATTCCACACACCGTCTCGGTGCGTAAGCTCATCCCCAGGCGTACGGCACTTAGGCAAGACGCGCACCTCGAATCCGCACATATTGAACAGGATAGACGGATTATCCTTGCTGTACACCGACGCGAAGGAATCGTCCCATTCGATGGTCGTGACTGCACGGGGTAGTCGATTCTTCATATCCCAGAACACGGCGCGGCCCAGATTGACGTCGTGTTTCATGAGGCGCATGCGTGCGTCGCGAGGCCAGCAGCGCTTGTTGTTGTATCCTGCAGATTGTGAGCGAGATCGAATACAGTCGATCAGATCAAAAATCAGTAAACAGGTAAATACACGTATCAATTCGACAATATATCGCGTTCTCAACAATCTCTGAACATTACAATATCGTAAACGAGCACACGACGCGGACATCATCTCATATTCTAGCGGACAAACGCTCCAAGATTAGAACGAATTCTACGTCAAGAAAGTTACAAAGCAACAACCGTTGAGTATGCAGCAGACGTGACAACATACCAACAATGTTCTCGTTGTTAGGATCGGGATGTTCAGTGAGATATCTCTGGATCAAATCACGGCACTCCTCCGCATCGAAGCGATAAAACACGTACACACGGTCTATGTAACGCGTGTACAGGCGAATGGGGTGACGTGTTTCAGTCGCCGTCTCAGCGAACGACAGGAAGTCATTGGGCATTTGCGGAGGACCAACCATCTCCGAGGCACGTTGTAGACCTGTGATTACGTAGTACAAGTATGGAGGGGTAGACTCAGGAAAACAGGAGAGCAGGAACATCGCCAATGATACGAGGGATATTTACACCAACGGTGATATAAAAATAAAATACTTGCTTTAAAGAATTCTTGTACTGTACGCGGATATGTTCGCCGACTATACATATGAATCTACCATTGACGAGTATCCGTATTTCACTTACCTAGAACAAGCAAATCGCAGACCAGTCCATAATATTGCACAATGAACGCCGCGAACTGCAGACCTCTGACCAGACCATACGAGTTCGTGTGGTTCATATCTTTGTAGTTGATGACGATGTTATTCTTCGCCGTCATGTAATCCGCAATGTTATGATCCACAATCAAACGCAGCAGACGATTGAGCAGGGTCAGATCGATCTTGTCGTACATCTTGTCGAGTTTGGTCTCCAGCATCACGTTGCACTCGCCCTCAGCCGTGTCCCACACATCCTGTATTCAGATGATCCCAAACGATGCCAGAATTGCTTCATGAGATTATATTCGCAATCAAAAAGTGTGTTTCACGCCAAACATGCCGAGTTTGCAACAACAACAAAAATAGCAATTGTACCTAGTAAACCGCGAATATAGATGCGAACATGGTCGAGCTACATACCACCAGATTGTTGATTCCCTGGCACCACTTGTAAACCAGGAGGGGAGGGGGCTCGGTATCTCCAGGCTTGATCCATGGCGGGAACAGCCGTCGCTTGTCCGCCTCGTACCACAAGTACTGATCCAGATACGCATCCGTGATCTTCTCCAACGGCTCGATATCGTACACGGGGATCAGATGACTATACAGATCCATGAACTCAATACCGACCTCCTTAAACGCTCTCTGAGTTAGCAAGTGACGTTTGATACGCGACAAGGTCTCGTGGGGATTGTCGTAGGCCTGTTCGACCAGACCCAATTCCTCGCGTTGTGATTGGTTGAGACGTGACTTGACAGAGTAGGCCTCCTTCAGACGCTCCAGTGCTAAGATCAGCAGCTTAGTGTCATGTTTGTATGATAGCGGCGGGAAGGGGATGGGAGAGAACCTTCGGGATTCTACAAGTTGGATGTTGTAGATAACAAAAGGATAAGGGGTTATAAGCGATGTCCATCAGAGGGACTTGCCAGAGAATGCTCGTCAGGCGGTGATGCCGCTTTGGACACCAGACAGTTCGACCACCTCCGATATAAACGATTGTAAATTTAGTCCTCGAGTACATATACTCATGACTAAAGATAAATACTATAGTTTAGATGCGCTACTCATGTGCATTCACAATTCTTGTTCCTTACCGAGCCAGTGAACGGTGGTGGTGTAGATAGCCACAGCTTCCTCAGGCGTCACGTAGGGACCATCCTTCAGGTAGTTGTGCTGTCTCTCCTGCTCTGCCTTCAGGTACAGTCGCGTTAAACGACCCAGGTTCTTCTTGCACACAGTCTTATCGACAGTGGCACCTCGGCGGATACGCTCACGGTTGTAGTGCGCGGTGTTTGTCCACCAATCCGCTTTCATCTTGACAAAGCGCAGGATCATGTTCTCGATGGGAATGGGCATTCCCGGTACCTGAGTGAGAGTATTTGAGTGAAATAAAGTCAGCTCATGTGTTGCAGAAAAAGAGTAAAAGGCTCCTAGTACTAGCTTGAGGTATGCAATCTCAAAAAGGAAAAGAGCACACAAGCCTTCTTTCCAGCCATTCTACAGCTGATGGCAATCAATCGTTGCGTATAGCTCCACGAACACAAATACCCCAGCCGTGCTGAAGAAATGCAACGATACTTTCCGACTATACTCTCTCCTAACACGAAATGCCAAACTTTATGCTACATGCACGCAGAGTTATAGCTGGCATAGGCTCCAACCACAAAGCATTCCGAGGGATCCTTACCTTCCACGGGATATTGGCTTTCCAGCACCTCCACGCCTCACTCAGATGCTGCATGATGGTTCTGGCCTTGTTTTGCTTGATACCCTCGGGCATCATATCGATGATATCGTGCATCACACTGGCACGCAGCTCCAGATCAAAGTGCGACTCCACACGCTGTTTGGTGACCGTCTTGGCCACACCCTTACTGTGTCGCCCCTCGAACTGACGCGCTAGCAGATTACCCAACCAGCGTTCTAAGAGAGGTACAATACCTATAGGCAATTGCACGACGTGGTGTAGTGTGTGAGTGATATTCGACAGCAATTGTTTGAACGTCCTCAAAGGGCGCCGCAGGATCAATAGACGAGATATAACACAAAAAGTACGAATCCATTCGCAGTACCGACCGTAAAACTGGGACGATTTGAAAAGACATCAACAATATTTGGTAACTCTACATACCTCTGAGGAAGAAGATCCACACTCTCCATCCAGGGGCCCAGAAACCACATCCAGGACCCTTGCCGACAGCCCCCGTGTTGAAGCGGTTGTATATGAGATGCTTCAGATCCTTACACATACGGATTTGCCGCATGAGCTTGTACTTGTATCGGTACATTCCCGTGAGTTGACCGACGTGTGCGAAAATGTACTGCAAACCATCGGCCAGCTGGAATGCGTCCACGTTACCCAGTCGGTACTGTACCTGGGAGTCTACCACCAACTTGGTCAAACGTAGAATCTCTCTGGTGAGGAATGAGTCGGAAAGGGGGGGAAGAGAGATGTGAATCCCATGAACAACTCGCAAAGGGCACTGAGTGTCAGCGTTAGAAGTGACTAGCTACAGCTATGTGTGACTTCAAGAAAATAATCACTTAATAGCATAGATCCAGAACAGCATGTGGAGTGCATGTACGACACTCATCATTGAAGTACAAACTCCGTTCAATCAAGCCTACCTGCACAAATGGAAGGCGTTTCCGAAACGCGACTTCTTTCTCTCCTTGGTAGTGAGAGTCTTAACAGGCTTTAAATTGAAGTTGAAATCCAGATGCAAGTAATCCAAATTCTTTCGGTGAATCAGCAGGTTAAGCATATTGTAACCCTGGCGACACACTTGCAGACCAGCCTCCACCCAATCCAACTCAGAAAACTGGAAAAACTTGGTTTGTTTGAAACTGCGGAACAAGTAACGTTTCTTGTGCGCCTTAGGGGGTCGACGGTGTAGCTCGTTGAGTACATAGCACTTGAGTAGTTTCTGGTAGGACACTCGCACTTTGGTCGGCTGATTGGGAATAAAAAACAGAACGATGTTTTAGCTCAGTAAAAGAGGATGACTCCAGACCAGACCAGTGATTTTGAGGTCTACTTCAGACACTGAGACACAACTGATGTCAAGGGCAAGGGTGCTTTAATACAGCTGAGCGCCCAACATCTTCAAATCTAGCAAATACACACCGCAAAGCATTGTACAAACTGAAGCTGGTGCCCGTTATATAACATCAAGCTCACCTGGTTCGGAGGGCAGTGCTCCTGGTACCACCTCTTGACCAGAGGCACATCCACAGCCCTACGCGTGTGGCCACTTCGCACGTTGAAGGGATATGGCGCCCATAACAGCTGGATACCTTTGGCTGTGTTATCTGTGTAGAGTGGCGTGTCTTCCAGGAAGGGAGGCATGTCCTCGGGAAGTTCAAACTCTTCTTCTTCGTCGAAAGTTGGCTCTCTACGCTTCAGGTTGGCGGCATGTCTAGATTGCAAGTGAATGTCAGAGCATGAGTAACACAGCTATAGGTCAACGCTTCAAGGAAGCCACCCTGAATACGATATAGAACCGCGTGATGGATATCGACCACAGAGACTACTAAGCGTGCAGTCAACTGATGGGCACGCAACCAGCAGGAGGCAAAGATCTCGGGGCAAACATACCTGCCGCTGATAGGATTAATAAGTGGATCGAAGTAGAACGCTGGAAGATCGGGATCTTCGGGGTTGATGTATACAATGCTGGGTGTGTGGTATAGAGAGAGATGCACACTACGGGGTTTGCTATTATATAGGTGAGGGAAGGCGATCTTGTACTCTGTACGGATCTGATGACGCACGACAATCTTGTTGATGTCGTTGAACTCGTCCCAGTCCTCATCTCCCAGTTCCGAGTCTCTGTACAATGGCTCGAATTTAGGTCCTGACGCAGAATTTGATAAATGATAGAGCTAGTTAAATTTCAACAATGCGTGGTAAGATTTCGCAAATGAAGTAGGAAACATAAATCGCCTCGTGCATGCATCATTGTCACTCGAAACGATATTGGAAATAATAAAAAGTCGAATAGAACACGAGGTACAAGACTGAGAAAGATTCTGGAAAAAGCAAGTCTACTTCCGCGACTTCAAACATAAAAGAGCTCAGCGATACGTCATCGACATCTTCAATTCCGCATGCTTAGTCTCAGTTTATCGAACTTACCCCCTGGAATGGCCATATTCAAACTTTTCGAAGTGAAGAAGGACTTTGTGTCGAATAGATAGAAGTAGTTATCATCCACCAAATCACTGAGCAACTGGTTACCCAGACGATGTAAATTGGCCATCGCAGGGATAGGCAGGTTCCAGCGTCGGTACGTTTCACCGTTCACATGTGGGGTACCTACGAGTGGTTTGTGGTCGTAGAACCATTCGTATACGGGGGCATCTTCATCTTCGTCAAGCTCCATGTTGATACCCTGTGTGTATTGTGGTGAGGAGGCGATATAAGTAAAAAAGCAAGCGGCTGTAGACGGGACAGCGAACATGTCATTATGCCCTACTGACCGAGCCAGCCGATGCATCTCAACCCAATTCAGAAGGTCCTCGGATGAAGAAAGCAGATGCAATCATAGACAGAACAGTCAGACATCGCCAGCAAAATTCATCTAGATAAAGCATTACTCAATATTAAAGTAAAAAGCACCAGCTGCAAGTAGCATGAGACAGCAAAGTGGACATAACACACCTCCAATGGCTCCACATCCAGCAAGTTATCCTCGTAATCCAACGGAGGTTCTTCGTCATCGAACGGTGGGAAACGCATGCGCTTGAAATGCTTACGATCACGCTTCTCACGACGCATCATAATCCACATAGTGCCCCATTGAGCTACATAAACGGGCTCAATCACCCAGGGAATCTCGTTGACAAAGGTGATGGCACCCGTCACGTGCCATAGACAGTTTACATCACGCAGCTGTTCCCAGGGCATAGGAATGTTCTCCAGGAGCTTCAGAATGGCGTGGGGAACGTACTGTGCGGTAGAGACGAGATAAGAATGTAAATATTCTTTCATTTATATACATGTTTAAAAATTTATGTATATGTATGTATATATATATTTATGTATGTATATATATATATATATATATATATATATATATATATATATATATATATATATACATATATATATGTATATACATACATATATATATATATATATTTATATATATGAATTATCAAATATATAGACATGAGGAGATTTGTAAATAAACAGATGTGACCGGCTAGAAAATAGAAAAATCCTGTCGAAGGCACGGTAGCGACATTTCTCTGTTTGATGAAGTTCTGAACTCGTGGTAAATCCAATATTTGCATTGAGATGTTCCTTGAGAGGCAAAATTTACATTCGTCCGTTCTCTTCATCAAATATGAGGCAGCAGATCCGCCACACATTCAATAATATACACTGGCCTTACACAAGCCGACCACGGTATAAGTGCAACCCTGAGGTAACACAACAAGAAGCAGCGCTATGAGCTTCGCAATAAGACACATCGTAGAGCATTAAACAATGTGTTTGGTTGGTCCTTGCTCACCTTCAATGAACCGAGATAGATTCGTTTATCGTGTCGGAACTTGCGGGAAGTCATATCTCCATGATCTTTGATGATCTTGCGGATGTGTTCTGGCGGCATCTCTACCTTTTGTGCATCGACAAACCCAAACTTCCGCTGAGCCGAGTACCTTTGCTTCTGTAGCTGCTGCCACTTGCGTGCTGATAAATGCAAATTAAAGGTCAGTAAACAATGTAATTCCTACTTAACTTGATACTTATCAGCGGCCGCAAGCATAGATATAGTTTCATTTTGTGCACACATGTATGAGGCTGTCACATGCATGCACATTATGCAAATACAATAATAATAAAACATATCTAAACCCGAGTTCATAAGAAAATTCCGGTGGGTGTATATAAGATGAAGACTTGTCTATCAAAAAGACAATCTGAAAGTACGTTGTAAATACGTAAACATAAACCGTGATGGTATGTGCAAGACCACGTATACATACATCTGCCGGCTAGACTAACATGCTACATCCAATTATATAAATCATAATAGGATGTCGATATCTATGATTTGAAGTAAGTGAGATCGAAATTGCAAATGCACATAAATTACAGATATAAATATGAATAGTACTCAACAAAAGCCTTGCATAATTCTATTTGTATTGAAATACCCTAACAATGTGCAAGTACTCTAACTTTTACAAACATCTGATATGTCGGTGAGAATTAATTATTAATAAATATCAAACAGCATACGCTATCCACAATAACGTATTATACATTAAATCTAGAGAAACGACTACATTTCTACATGATATACATACATATGGAACAGATATAAATTCAAGGGTATGTACAAACTGTATCATCCGACTATCCAAATATATATTATATATGCAATAGCAACAATAGAAAATCATACACAAATATTTGTCACAAAAGGCAAATGTGAATAAATTATGTAAGTGAAAGAATTGTGTTGCATATACAAATTTAGGTATCTCGAAAATATCTAAAATAATAACTTTTGATTCTGACATCATGTAGATATGGCTACATGCACGTCTATAGGAATATATGAACAATTGATAAAATTCGATTGTGCATGTAAACTTTGTATATATATTTATGTCAAAATATATATACATCTATCTATCTATCTAATATATATATATATGTGTG